AACGCGGCGAGGAGCTTCAACCCTCAGTACGGCGACGCGCAGCAGCTGGGGGCCGTGGACTCCATGACCGTCCGCAGCACGGAGGGCCGGGAGACCCTGCTGAAGCTGGCGCTGCCGGCGCCGCAGGGCAGCGGCAACGCGGCGGGCCGGCTGACGAGACGGGGCAGGCCGGCGGCTGTGAGGCAGCTGGACGACTTCCTGGCGCCTCCGAGGCCCAGGACCCTCGACTAGCCGTTGAAAATGATTTTTCGGCACGCTCAGGCCTCCGCATTTCCGTGGAAGCTTGATCGGACCCGTTTTGGCGCAAAAAAAACTTTGATCACACTCAAGTTGGAATTGCCTGATCGAGCGAAAACACTAGAAAAAAAAAGGTTTCGAGGCATTGCGCAGGCCGTCGGAATTCCCGGAGCCTGCTCAAGCCCTTTTATTGGGTTTGGGGTGCTCGGGAAACCAACGGGTTGGGCGAACCAATCAAATGAGCGGGGGCTGGCATGAGCAAACCGCGCAAAACCGTGCAAAAGCTATTCTTCCAGTGCCTACATTGATGTAGGCACTGGAAGAATCGCATTTTTTCAACGCAAAACCGTGCAAAACGAGCTATTCCTCCAGGCCCTACATAAATGTAGGCCCTAGAAGAATAGCATTTTGTAGCGCCAAAGCGCACAAATGTCCCTGGGTTTGGCTCCACTCTCCCCCGGGTCCTTGCTATATGTCTAATAAAATAATATGTGAATATCCTCACAAGGCAAGCCGCTACTGAACATACCTCTCCCGGGTCTTGCTATATTGTGCTATTATGTGCTATATCTTACACGCCTAGCCGCCTGTCCCCCACTCTCCCCCTGTCCTTGTATATGTAACTATATGTTGCTATTATTCTGTACGCCGCTTTTAAAAATGTACTATATAGTGCTATACAATGAATATTTCGGTAATGTTGGAAGATGACTATGTGTATAGTACTACAGGCTTCTATACCATATAGGCACATATAGTACATATAGCAAGGAGCGGGAGAGTGATGTTAGCTGGGGGGCTTGCCTTGAGGACCATCTAGCCATATAGTATAATAGCATGGGCCCGGTGGGCGAGAGTGTGGAGTTACAGCGGCTTGCCTTGTGATGACCCTTTTTTTTCAGGCTCGGCATCCTTGCGTGGGAAGGAATGCAGCACAACATTCTCTTCCCACAAACCCACGTTTCAAAACGCCACTCCTTGCACCCTCCTAGAAGGAAGGTCTCAAAACGGAGGGGGGGATGGAAAACCATCCCAGTTGGAGCCAAAGTCAAACGTCATTTAAAAAGGCTCGTGCCAAACTCAAACGTCATTTGGCTATGGCCAGCAAGACCAAAAGAAGAACACAGGGAAATAGAACATATTCGTCATTGAAAAGCCCTCGAGCCAAACTCCCAAACCTCATTTGGGAAGGTCAGCACGGCAAATGAAACACTAAACAAACGCGCATTGGAGCCAGAGCAGTCAGCGAATCGGGCGTTGCCTATCACATGCATCACATGTCTGAATGGATCAAACGGATCGACGACTCAAACGGCAAACCACTCGGTCTTTTCCAACACTGATGCAGTGGGGAATCACGGTGCGTCCCCGCACGTGGGGGAATCACGGTGCGTCCCCGCACGTTAGTTGAAGGGCTTTTGTCATTCCTCACAAAGGAAAGGGAAGACAAAAAAACCCAAGCTCATGCTCGGGCCGTGTGGCTCATGCCACGTGGCTCATGCCACTTGCCCCTTCTTCTAGGGTGGGTTGGGTGGGGCGAAAACAAAATGTGACACTGCTCTTTTGGCAAGTGTCTTTCCCACCGCCCTCCCAGCCACATGGCTGCTATTCAGAAATTCACATCAATTTCATCCAAGCATGCCATGTTCACGGTTGTCAAGAAACAAGTGCCCGTTCACTCATGTGCATACCAAACGGGCCACTTGCTGGTTTCAACCGAATCTACCAAAGGAGGAAACGACGTCAACGTGGGAAAAAGGGATGCGAACAGGAAATAAAACGTCATCCTCCTACGGAAGAGGCCTTGCTTATTTCAGGCTCGGCATCCTTGCGTGGGAAGGAATGCAGCGCAACATTCTCTTCCCACAAACCCACGTTTCAAAACGTCACTCCTTGCACCCTCCAAAAAGGAAGGTCTCAAAACGGAGGGGGGATGGTAACACCATCCCAGTTGGAGCCAAAGTCAAGCGTCATTTAAAAAGGCTCATGCCACACTCAAACGTCATTTGGCAATGGTCAGCAAGACCAAAAGAGACCACAAGCAAACGACATTTGTTCGTCATTTGAAAAGCTCGAGCCAAACTCCAACTCATTTGGGAATGGTCAGCACGGCCAAATGAAACCACAAACAAACGGCATTTGGAGCGGTCAGCGAATCGGGCGTTGCCTATCACATGCATCACATGTCTGAATGGATCAAACGGATCGACGACTCAAACGGCAAACCACTCGGTCTTTTCCAACACTGATGCAGTGGGGAATCACGGTGCGTCCCCGCACGTTAGTTGAAGGGCTTTTGTCATTCCTCACAAAGGAAAGGGAAGACAAAAAAACCCAAGCTCATGCTCGGGCCGTGTGGCTCATGCCACGTGGCTCATGCCACTTGCCCCTTCTTCTCCCCCTGCAAAATTGGCATAGTGGCTTCCGAAATGAAATTACTGATGTCCAGGTGCATCCTCTCACCAAGACCCCTTGAGGTCGTCGTCACCCTGGGCCGGCTTGTCAGCCATATTCGAAGCGGTGTTCACCCTTTCGAACCAGCACGCCACGTTTCCAGCGTCCAAGATTGCCAACGTGTTGTCGACCAGTCTCTGCCCCGATGGGTTGACCGGTTTCCCGGATATCATCGAAACGAGGGACCCATTGCGGTCAGTGAACACGATCACGTGGCATGACTCAAGGGTTGGAATCCAAGTTTCAAACCGCAGAACATGGCAAAAACACTCAGGCTCATAGATTGGGTTCTTGCATCCCTCACGCGCGAGTGCCATTACTTGCTTGAGTTCCGTCTGCTCGCTCAAAACTGACACTGGCCCGAAGTCTGGCAGGATCAAGTCACCTCCTATTCTGCCAAGCATGTCACTTCCACCTTCGGAACTTGCATCCACATAGACGCGCCAAGTTTGATGAACATGTGTCGTGACCCGCTTAGGCTTATTTCCGCAAGGGCCCATCTTCAACCCTTTGAGACTCGCTCAAGACTCGCATCGACCGCCTTCTTCCCGCTAATTATGTGCTCCGAGAGAACCCGCAGGTGCAGCCGTCCTTGGCGGTCAAACTCTTCGCGGATTGTCCTCACCCAACTCATGAAGTCTGTAAGAAATGGCTGCCGCGACACAATCTCCTGTGTGCATAGTGATCGTATCTTCGCTCGAAGATGTGGCATTCAAACACGACTCCTTGAAGTTGTCAATGGGTCTGCATGTTCCTCCCTGCCACACTCCGAACCGTCTGGTGACGACCGAGGTGCAAAGAAGATTCAGCGAATAGGCTCCAAAGCCATCCTTTGCTCAGTTCCTCCTCCGTGCTGTCGTACACTGCTTTGTCCAACTCAGGAACACCTGAGGATTGGGCACTTCTCAGGATGCCTTTCCTATCCACGGGCGCCATCCTCGAAAGACACAATCTTTTGTGGCGAAGTATCTTCGCTGGCATCTGAGTATTTGCTCGCCACCAGCATCTCCTCGAAAGACACAATCTTTTGTGGCGAAGTATCTTCTGACAATGTTCCGGCCGCTTTTCCCGCGCAAGAGTTTCTGATTCATCGAGGTCACGAGCACGGCCAACCCACCGCCTCTTTTGTTCGACACGGTGCACACTGACCCAAGTAGCTCCCTTTTTGGCAATTGTAGTCACGGCTTCACGCAAGACACTGGATACTCCATTTATCAGGTCCTTAGGATCCTTAGCCGACGAAGCACTTGACAAACTCATCTGGTGTCCACGGAGTTCCGCAATTAACAAAAACCACATTATTTAGGTCATTAGCGCATCCAGTTTGCACGGGCGGTGGTCTGTCGCTGGTGGAAGCTTCGTCCTGCCTAATTCCCCCACTTTCACGAGCACGAAGCCTACGGGAAGGTGGGGAGTCCTCCTCAAGCTTACCTGTAGGAAATTAGTGGCCAGGCCCCTGTTACTGTATTACACACCGGAACTCTGGCACAAGTGGAGGGACCTTCTGGCCGCGAAGCTGCATTCCGAGCGCGACCCTGGCACTAATATGCGGGTTGCTTTTGTACATGCCTGCAACGCATGAGACAGGATGAACTGTCCCAAACTCCACAAGTTGTCTGCAGATCAAGCTCGCCCACACTTGGCACAGAGGGATGGTGTGCGCGGTTTTCTCGGATGCGGCTCATCTGTTGCCACTGCGTCCCCACGGCAAATGAACACGAGTCTGGTTTTCCTGGACAAGTGATACTAAAGATGCACAATCAGGCACACCGTGCAATTGGGTCAGTTTGGCTCCCTGACCGCCACAGCAGCATGATGGAAAAGGGTGTGCCACAGGGGCAGCTTGTCAGTGCACGACGATGGTGGCTGGTCAACCACATGAAAGATCTGCCTGGACGTTCAACACTGGCCATGATTCCTAAGGAATGCGCCTTGGCGACCCGGTTTTCCTCGTAACAGGAGGGTTGTATCGGCCCTTGCGTTGACTACAACGTCCCCATGATGCAGTGCCGCATGGTGACACAAAATTGTAGGGAAACCACATTTGGATTCACGAGGAACTGGTTAAAAAGTTCATCTGCGCCGGGCTTAGGTGAAACTATTTTGAGCGTCGCTGCCACGTCCTTGCTGTGTATGCTTGCGTCGACCCCCACGCTGCTGGCGAGGCCCAACTTGCGGATTTCACAGGTCAATCTTCCCGTGCCGCAAAACAAAAGAAAAAGGAATGTTCAACACAACAAGGTCCTCTACATGCTTGCCCTTAAGGCGTGCAAGCGTGCAAAATAAGATTCATGCCGGTACTCTGCCTGTCACTCATGCTTATGCAAAGGATGGTTCCTCCTGCAGTCCCATTCCATGCAGATGCGCACACCCTTTGGGCACTCACCTCTGTCTTTGACATCGGCGTGGCTGTGACCGTGGGGGAGATTGTAGTCCCAGCAAATTCGCTTCCCCTTTCCTGTCACATACCGCTTGCCTCGCAAAGCCTCAGGCATGTTTTCGGGTTGCTTGTGCTTCCCTTTGGTCTCGCCCTTTCCCAAAATCACTTTGCCCTGCTTCTTGCTAGGCCCGGACGCACTGGGTAATTCGGCCGGCCGCTCTCTCTTGGAAACTGCACCTGACAGCAGGGGTAGCAGCTGGAAGCACACTTGCGGACCAGTCTCCAACCTGGCGAAAGCCAAAGCTAAAGGTAACTGACCATCGGTCCCGCGCTTCAACCCGCTTTTCACCATCTCGCTCAGGCGCAGCCACGCACGCTGGTCTGCTTTAAGGATCTGCACCACATCCACCTCTCGGTATCCTGGCGGGGATGTCTCTTGCAGACTCCTCATCATCATTGATTGGTACTTCTCCACCACCACCACATCAAAACTGGCTGCACCCACCAAGTCCAAGCACAGCGCTCGTCTGGTGAACGCCTGCAACAACAGAAGCTCGGATGAGGTGTCACAGTGCAGCACCCGAGCGTTACTCTTCACAGCCAGGCTTTGGTTCTTGGTAACAAGTATTTCCTGCTTCTTCTTCTCATTCAGCAACTCAAAGCGCCTGGACGGGGAGCGATTTGGGTGCAAATAAGTCACCGCATTGTCCTGGAGCATCTTCATCACCGGGTCATGTTCGGTCCAGTTCTCCCTCTAGGCTGAGACCCCGTAGTCGCTCAGCTTGGCGCTTCATGCGGTCTTCGCGCTCTGCTGGTTCCAACTCGGTTGCACATTCGCCAGATTTGCCTTCCACTGTCGCCCTGATCTGAGCAATCATCAGAGTTTGACTCTCGAATACCAGGCGTCTCAGAGCGCTGATTTCTCCAATCGTCCAATTCCGCTCTCCGCCATCAAACAGTCCCTCAATATCGGCCTGGCTCGGTGCATCTCCGGGTTGCCCTCCGCTGTATGCGATCGTGTCGATTCCTCGATTGATGAGGCGCTCGATGGCGTCATCAGGCAGTCCAACTGTTCCAGCATGCTCTCTGAAAACTGCCTCACTGTCAACGAGGCTTACCATTGCCACGTCTAATGCACCCAGTCAAGTAGGTCAGTGACAAATGCCGCACAAGTCCAAGGGTTCCCTTGGCTTTTGGGGGCATCGATGCGTGACAGAAGATTACAATCTCGGATCGACCTGATTTCACGAAGAGCTTGGGAGTTCCATTAAAATTTGCTCATGCTCCAGTTCAAGCTTGAGCCTCTGGTAGTCGGGCACATCCTCGTCTCGCTCATGCGGACGTGGTTCTGCTCATGCAGATTTGTGCTCATGCACATTACAAAGGCCCAACTCACCAGACCAAACTCTCCCTCGTTCCTTAGTTGAACCAGCCGACCACTTGAAAAGGAGGGGGCGGGGGCAGAAAGGGAGGAAGCAACAAAGGCACCCTTTGCTTCCCACAAACTCGTCCGCACTTTTTGGATGAGGTTCGGGCCTCATGGCCCTTGCCTTGGGTGCCCATGCACCCATAGGGCTCATGCCCCCGCAGGCTCATGCCCAAGGTTCCAGTGAACCGTAATGTTCCCGAGTGATTCCATCAACACAGGAAGAACAATTCGAAGGTGGCCCCCCCCCCCTCTCTTTTCCCCTTTTGGAAACCAAGCAACCTGTCTCAGACCCTTCATGCGGCTGGTTTTGCTCATACGCGCCGTCTGAAGTTCAGCTGGTTTCTGACGCCTTCCAAGAGCTTCATCCAGCATGTTCACAAGTTGGTCAATCGTCCTGACAACCTTCCTACTGTCACGCTGCTTGCACCTCCATCTTGAAGAGAAAATTCGACTATTGAAAAGTATTGTGTCGCTCGTCAATTATCGACCGCACACGAAACTCGTCACCTTGCTGTCAGTCTTTCCTTCATCAGGCAATGAGTGCAAAGCCCCTTTTTCTTTGCTTGTCCACATATATGGTGCATTGCGGCTTCCACTCGAAAGCCTCCTCGGTTCAGACTCCTCACTCGAGGAACTTGAAGATGACGATCCACTTTCCTCGCCGGGACCCGCAGAGGCTGACTCGACTGTTGCGGGTCCTCTGCATCTCCAATCTCGGCTTCCTCATCTTGCATCTCAAAATTTGAAACATTCGCAGGTTGTTCCAGAGGCTTCGTCCTTTCTGGATACATTCCGCTTCGCATGGCATCTGGCAAATACATTCCATCACGAATGGATTTCAGGACGACTGCAAAATTCTCTGAGAGGACCGCTCTGCCTGTCTCTTGAATATGTTTCCAGCGTCCCCAACTTCTTCAAGCTATGATGTCCAAGAGTCAAGCCGTTGTCTCTCTCACACCTGCTTAAGCCATCCATCCAAGTGTTGTTGCCTTCATGCCATGTGAAGTCAAACCTCGGCCAACTAGCTTTCGGTTGCCACCTCAGTCAGACCGACCAGCCACCTCGTGACTTCATTCGCTGACGTTGGCCTGTCGGTCCACCTCCCTGATTTATCAACAGCAGGGAGAAGGGGGCCACGTCTGATTTTGTCCAAAGGCAATCCAACTGCTTTCGCAATTTCCACAAATGCAGCCAACCAGTTCGAGTGCGCAACCCATGTGAAGGCGCAACCGAAATGAGGGCCTGGCCAGATTTTCCGTGGTAGCGCTTGTTCATGTGCTCCATGGTTCTGACCTCCAGAAATCCTGATCCCTCAAATAAGGCGATCTCCACCCTGTTGACCGCACGGCAATCGCTCGCTCTCGCACGAGAATAAATTGTGAAAAGGAAAATGCCAGCTGCATACAAATCTTGATTTGATGCACCCTTGTTGATGACCACTTCTCAAGTGCCAGAACATCTTCGGCCGTGAGCATACGGGATTGCTTCCGCTCTCCTTTCCAGCTTCCGCACCCCTCACTGCGCCCTTCGTCCATGGGCTATCAATGATTGCTCACAACCGTCGAAATCCAAGACATGTTTGAGAAAACGGAAGTCTTCATGGCTTCAGAAAAAGGCACCGTACCTTTCTTCTTCGCAGAGCTCTTCAACACATCCCGTGGCAAAAAAAACTCCAGCTCAACGGGACAGCTCTGCATCTTTGCCCCATTTGATCCATCTCTTGACGCAAGATGCCCTCCTTCTGAGTCGCAGACCTCCAATAGTCTCCCCGTCGAAGAGGCACCAATCAATTGATATAATGCACACCCACCTGCGGGCCACTTCCTCCATGTCAGGGGTTGGCTTGTGCCAGCTTCTGCGCATTTGCATTGCATCTGAAAAGACACAAGTTTCACATCCACCATCCTGAGATCCAGAGGCTCCGGCTGTGTCCTCGATGTCGGTCTCCACAGATAAACCTCCATGAACGCGCTCAACAGGTCGTGGATTAAACCGAGCAAACCCCCACGAACCAAAGACCGGTTTGAAAAAGGGGGGGGGGTTCTCCCAAGGCAATTGCAACTGTCGGCACTGGAGGAGCTCCACTTTGCATCCAAAATAGACCCTCGCAAATTGCTCAAACCCGCTGCTTGCAAATCGGTTTTGCTTTGTGCAACGAAGGTGCACTGCTGGATTTGCGGTTCACACCAAAAGGGGCTGCGGAAGACAGAATCGGTGTCGAGTCAAGACCATCAGGTAACGGTTTTCCAGTTCCAGCTGTTCCTGCATCTGAAAAAGACCGTCAGCACGTAAAAGAAAACCGTTCCCATCGCCGTAATCCCCCTCAGATGTTGCACGAACCTTATTGCCCTAAACTCCTCGGCTCTGGGCACTCGCTCCGCCATCTGGGACGGGAAGAAAAGCATCCTTCCCATCCATACCCCCTGTCCGCTAGAAGGATGCGACGCCATCAGCGCAAGCACCGCGAAAGTCTGCCCAAAAGACTGCGCTGATACTGTTGCAAGAAAACTCCAGTCAAATGAAATATACGCTGCAGCTTTCGCAATTGCAAAAGCGTGTGTATCAGCCTTCGCCAATGGTGCACGGCGCGAACACGGCGCCTAGAGGGGCAAGTGCCCATGGCACGAAAACAAAATGTGACACTGCTCTTTTGGCAAGTGTCTTTCCCACCGCCCTCCCAGCCACATGGCTGCTATTCAGAAATTCACATCAATTTCATCCAAGCATGCCATGTTCACGGTTGTCAAGAAACAAGTGCCCGTTCACTCATGTGCATACCAAACGGGCCACTTGCTGGTTTCAACCGAATCTACCAAAGGAGGAAACGACGTCAACGTGGGAAAAAGGGATGCGAACAGGAAATAAAACGTCATCCTCCTACGGAAGAGGCCTTGCATAGCACATTTTGTACATATAGCATGGGCCCGGGGGAGAGCGGGTTGGGGGCCATATAGCACATATAGCACATATATGGAGCTGGGGGGGAGTGGAGCGGGTTGGGGGTCAGCGCGTCGCCCAACTGTGCGTCTTTTGGGCAAGGCGGCCTCACGAGCCCGGCAAGGGTGCAGTGTGCCAGAGCGGGGGGCTTGCAACGATCTGTACGCGTTCGGTCGGGCTTCTGCCTGGTCTGTGCCCTCAAAAGGCAGGCCCCCGTGTCGCGAATTACTGGCCGTTGTACAAGGCCCTCAAACTCTCCGCCATGGAGATCGCCTTGTCGGACCCGAACTTTCGCTTCTCGCGCACAGAGTCCTTGACACACTGCGCCGTCACTTCCACGAGGATGCAGCGCTTCAGCACCGCGCGCGTGTCCGCGTCAAAGACCTTGTCAAGCGGGCGAGCGCGCCACTCAAACCCGTCGAGCATGAGGTCCGGAGGGCAAATCTTTGCCATGTCGTCCAAGCTGTGGTGGAGTTTCGCCAGGTCCTGCACCGTGATGATCCTGAACGTCTCCGCAGGCACCTTCACGTCGTTGTAGCGACATTTGATGGTGGCTGGCAAGTCGGGCGACAGACCGAGGAGATGCTTCAGCGTGTCCACTCCCCCGCCTTGGGCGCCGATGTTGCTGCTGCTGATCTGAAGCTCGTCCAGGAGCAAAGGCCTCTCGTCACGCAGGAGGCTGCGCTCGACCGCGGATCGCAGCATGTCCGGGCTGGACACCATGACGAACTCGTCCAGACCCACGTCGCGGGCTACCATGGCTGCTAGGCAACTTGCCAGGGGAGTGTAGAAGATCAAGGTCCTTCGCTCGTCGCGAGCTCGCCCGTAGGCCTTGAAAAAGTCAGTGGCTGCTTCTGGTGGACCTCGGGGTTGTACCACCAGCAGTTCACGGCGCTCTCGTTGATGACGAAGTCGGTCATCAGAAGTTGGCGATGGCGCGACACCAGCAGGCTCTCCGTTTGCAACTGGTCGTCCTGGAGTTGCTTGCGGAGCTGCAAGAGGGCCCTGCTCTGCAAGTGCACGAACTCGTCCTCACTGTTCGGCGGCCGCTTGCCGGTGTTCAAGGCCTTGTCGCCTCGGAAGGTCGTGTCGAGCTTGATGAGATGGCTCTGGAACTCGGACGTCGTCATATCGCCGTAGTTCTTCAAAACCCGTCGTGGGGAGAACTCTGGCGCCGGAGGTTCGTTTGCTGCAACAAGGCCGTCGTACTCGCCCCGACGCATGGCCCGCATGGTCCCCTTCTGCTCCAAGCAGTTGGCCATCAGCTTCACGACATCGTGAAGCTTCCCCTTGCCAAGCTTGTAGAGCTGGGTGGACGCCGGAGGATCATGGTGGGCTTGTGGAAGAAGACCCACAAG